ACTTAAACTATTTAATTCATCTAGATTATTTAGGAAGGTCAGGACAGTTATACACGGAGAGAAATTGATGGTAACACAGTAAAAACCTGGGTTCATTTTTGCTGCGTATCATTCTGAGTTCCGGATCAAAATGATTCATTGGCAAACTTCAAGTGAATCAAAATGATGCTCGCCAGGATTATGTTTTATTAAGTTGGTCTAAGTAATAGGGCGCCACCTGGTGATTCAGAAACAAAGCAATTCAAATTTAATACCAGAATTTAATTTAACAGCATTGGCAATTTATTTATAAATGAAAATTGAAACAATGAAAAAAAAGTATATAATAATGAAAGTCAATAAACATTATGAACTGGTTTGTCAATTACTACTATTACAACATTTTAAAGAATTAATATTTCGATTCAATCTAAAATTAAAATATTAAAATAATAATATTGAATAATAATTTAATTTTAATGATAAAAAAATTAATGATAATAGTTATCATTTTTTTTAGTAAATGAAAAATAAAAAATAATAATTATTTAAAAAATTAAATGAAGGTAATTTATCATTATTATTTATGTCTTTTGCTTCCTCGTGGAGGAAGCTTTGTAGTCCTTTCGTTTATAAAAATTTTCAAAGTAACGGAAACAAATTTTTTTCTATATAGAAACATGTTATATGAGATCCTGATCAATTGTCCGGATGTATGTATGTGTGTGTGTGTATGTGGATCCCTTTTTTGTTTAGACGATAACTTTAACAGGTTTTAATGGATTTAGATAAAATTTGGTAGGCTCATTTATCATATATTAATATCTCAAACTGACCAAAGGATTTTAAAAAATAAGCAAAAAAAAATTTTATCGTCTTTTTTCCAAAATTTTTTTTTAATCTAAAAAATTTTTAAATAGAAAAATTTAAGGTTATATATAATAAAATCGTATTCCTTACGTCAAGACAAATCGATTGGTATATATAAAGTATAGTTTCAATTTAAATTTAAAGAATTAATGAAAGTTAAAAAATCAAAAATTCACATTTTGGCTATAAAATTTTGTGATTATTTATAGATGAAATAATTGTATTCCTTACATGAAAACGAATCGATTGGTATATATAAAATTTACATTTGAGGTAAATTTAATAAATTAATGAAAGTTAAAAAAAAAAATTCCTATTTTAGCTAAAAAATTTTTTATTTATTTAAATTCAAGTTTAAATATAAAATAATTGTGTTCCTTGCATTGAAATAAATCGATATAATTGTAAATAATTATAAATTATATATTATTTTTCATTAATTTTCAGAAATTTCAGCTAAAATGTGAATTTTTGATTTTTTAACTTCCATTAATTCTTTAAATTTAACTCAAATCTATAGGTACTCAAATGTTTATATTATTATATTATTTTTGTATGTTTATTACTTTATTTCAATGTTAATGCTTTCTCCACGAGGAAGCAAATTTTTTTGTTGATCGTAAAGAGGAAGCAAAATGTTCATGTAATGAACATCTAAATTTACAACTTTTTTCTTTTTCTAAGATATTTTTAACTAATTTTATAAAATATTTATATTTTTTTATCTTTTGAATTTCGCGCCATTATCTTTGGTTTTTAGACAGTAGCGCCGTTAATATTTCGTTTACGTTATTTGTAAACGATGTGAACGTTGTCACGCATGACAGTTCCTAACCTAAAAATCTAGTTTACTTAATTTAATAAATACAACAAACTTGGCAATAAATATTAAAAATGTATGAAGTAAATACTTCTTTTAAGCCGTTTTTAATAGAGAGAAGATGTCTTTTTAATTTTGTGGCCTATTGGCTTATATTTATTTAATTACATCAAAATTTGACGCGTTTCGACACAGTATTCTGTATCCTCATCAGAAAAAACAAAGCAAGATAAGAAATCTGTAAAAAGTAAAAATTTATGTAAAAATTTTTTTCAAATGTTTTTCAAAAAACCTGGTATGTATATCATAAAATAGTTTGCCAAAATGTTTCTCGTAGAAACTTATGTATTCTATTGACTTTTTACAGATTATTTATCTTGCTTTGTTTTTTCTGATGAGGATACAGAATACTGTGTCGAAACGCGTCAAATTTTGATGTAATTAAATAAATATAAGCCAATAGGCCACAAAATTAAAAAGACATCTTCTCTCTAATAAATATTAAAGTTTTTCCAAGTGCAGTGTGTTCGCTTATTAGAAACAATCATTTTAATTCACATTTTTTTGAATAATTACTTGTTATTCGATAATAATTGTAATTTTGTCTTTGAATCAAAATGATCCGGATCAAGATCATTTTGATTCAAACTCAGAATGATCCTGGTCCGGTTCATTTTTGCTGCGTATCAAAATGATCCCGGTTGCCGGATCATTTTGATCGCAGGTTTTTACTGTGAAGAACTTATGATCTTAAGATGGTAAAAAGTAGATGTTATCCGGTACCATTATTACCCAAGTAGCACGGAATATTGGTTGAATGCCACGGTGATATCAAGTGGAAATATTCCTGTGACATTCAGGCGATATCATATTGTCCGCTTCAAGGGGACATTCCACGGTGATATTGCTGTGCCATTCGCGTGATATTCGTATGATACTGCGGGAATATTCCCGGGAAATTCATGTAATATTGAGGGGATATCCCAGTGATATTGAGCGGAATATTCCTGTGATATTGAGGGAATATTCCTCTGATATTGAGGGAATATTCCAGTAATATTGATGAGATAATTTAAAAAATCTAGATAGCTGTCCGTATATGGGCAAATCCACAGAACCGGCCGATTTTTACTTATCAAGAAGAAAATTTTCCAAATAGCAAGCACACCTTTTATTTATGGTTTACTTTCTTTAAAATATATTCATGAACAATTATCTTCTTGCGTGATTCATTTTATTTTAATGCCGTTTGAGTTAAAAGCCAAAAACGAAAATATTATTTTTCTTCTGGAAATTATAATTAAAAATGGCATTTCTTTGTTTTTTTAATATATTATTTGAAATATGTGCAAAACATTTTGAATAATAAAATATGATAAAATACAAATAATTAATTTTTTAATTATCAAAAATAAATTATTTATATTTTATCATATTTTATTATATACTTTATTTATTAGCATTTAATTTTTTATTTCTGCAAATTAAATTGTTTACTTACTAATTTTGATATTAACTATTTTAACCAACAAACTTACATTATTGACATCGATTTTGATATAACTTTGAAAATGAAACAAATGAAAGGAGAATTCATTTTTCACGATTAACTAGTTAAATTTCGATAAATTTTTTTTTATTTTTAATTTTTAGACGTTATAAATTGAAAATATAATTTGGCGTTTGCATACAAGAATTATATTAATGTCTTTATATAATCACACATGTTTTTAACTCATCATATTTTATCCTGTAGTTGTGCTACTGAAAAAAGGCTAAGTTGAAAATGGTTCACGCTTAAACATAGAGTGATAATTATTGGAATATTTTCTTTAATTCTGATTGCACTCTATTCTATGATACATACATTTGTTCGTCTGTTCACAAGCAATAAGCTCCAATTTGAAAAATTCAAATCGAATAATCGCCGCAAAAGATATTTACAAAAATGTATAGACATTTCATTATTATAAAATAATGAGTAACATTCTTCAATAAGTAAACTATAATTCACCACAGTTTGGAATTGTTTGCATCTATGCCGAACAAGTTATACCTATAAGAATTAAAATTTATACCTGGAGTAACACCGTAAATTTCATTTTTTAAGTTACTTAATTCGATTTTATTTTTTATAAAAGACTAGAAGGTTCACATTTATTCAATTTTCTTATTTCAATTGGTTCTCAGAGATATTACAAAATGATTGAAGTATGAAAATAATTAATATAATACTTCTAAAATAGAAAAATATGTGAGTAACATGAAATCGGCCGGTTCTGTGGATTTGCCCATATGTAAGATCAAATATGGTACCTGATACTATCTAGATAGTACCCCGTACCATCTATTTCTCTCCGTGTACTATTTAGTTTGTGATACTTAAAAGTCACTTTTGGATAGATTATGTGATAGAAGTTATTTATAAAATTGTTCTGTAACTTAAATGAAACTAAATTCTATAATACTATTACAAAATTGTTTTAGATCTGTTTTATTGCTTAAAAGAATGTTTTTTTAAGCCATATAAATTAATAATACTATCTTGTTATTAGGCCAAACCAAATAACAAAAATTGAAAAATCTCGACCTCTTCTATCAATCGTATTATTCTATTATTATACAAGGTACCACGATGCTGAAGTACGCAACGTTTATGATAAAGATTAGAAATCAATTTTTATTTAACACAGAAGATTTTAAACTGTTTACCTAAAAAAATATTTTTTTATTATTTGTTGATTAATAAAAGCTACAAGAAATATTTTTCAGGCAAAAAATTAAAGAATTTTTCATTCAAAAAAATTATTTCTTTAAAAATTGTTCATCATAAATGTTGCGTACTTTAGTATTGTCAAAGTACCTGAAAAAATAGGTTAAAGAAAATGAAAAAAGATGAAACTGGTTTATATGCGTCTGCCTGGTCAAATGAAAATGGGTCGACATGTCTGTGAAAAAACTTTATGAATGTGTTATACAACAGAGAAAGAGGAGAGTGAACCGTCCAAGGCATCGACCGAATCACCGTTATTCACGCTTGTTTCACGCCTTCGTCTCTCGTTTATTGTGAACAATTAAATATTTGAAACACATAATTATTAATATATATTTGTAAATATTTTCAAACCAGATGCAACTTCTTTTATCAATTACAAGTGACTGTACCGACTCTTAACCCAAAATTTAATAAACATTCACAAATAAATTTATATTTAAATACATATATATATACATTCTGTATATTACTGTTAAAAAAATTAAAAATCTACACAAATGAGTAAATTAAATTTTATAAACTAAATGTTTTTCTATTGGTAAATTTTTGTTTTAGGCTGCAATTCTTCAACAAACCGCTGAATATATTTACCAACTAGAACAAGAAAAAACTCAACTGCTGTCTCAAAATTGTCAGTTAAAACGACTGATAAATCAACATGAAGGCGGAGATGTTCCAATAAAAAAACGCAAAACTGAGAATCAAGGTTAGTAGTATAAAAGAAAACCATTGAGTTTTATGCATTTAAAAAAGACTTTTATTTGAAAATTATTAACAGAGGAACAGTAGATAATTTAATTGAAAGTATTTAATTATTCTATATGGTTATATTATTGAAACCTTCACTTCCAGGAGTTGTCGTAGGCATACCACCCACGGCCCAACATCTTAACGATGATGAGGGGTTAGGTAGTATGTCACCAGAACCTTTATCTGCGGTAACAGCAGCGGCATTGATTACTGTGGATCACCCTCATTCAAGTAGTAACGAAATAATTGAACTCAGGCGACAACTAGAAAGAGAGCGTCAAGCAAGGCATCATTTAGAAAAACAATTGAGGACAATCCAAAATCAGTCCATGTTTACAACTGCTGCTACTACAACGACAGATAGGTTTAGAGTTGACAATCAACTCATTGCTTACCAACCTCATGAGGTAAAGATTTTTAATCAATCAGAAAAATTATATTTGTGTTTTAAAATAAGTGAGAGCTAGTGTTGTTCACAACTAATGGTTATGTAAATTAAATTAAATTATTATTATTATTATTATTATTAAAATCGAAATAATATTGATTTGTGTTAGATTGTGACTAAGATAGACTGAAAAAAAAGATTTTGTGTTTGCAACAAAATCGTTTGGTTAGGCAATTTTGGTTCTTGTAAGCAAATTTTGGTTGACTGAAACAAAGTCGTAGAGTTATCTCAACCAAACATTTGGTTAGGCCAACAAAATTATTTGGTTCAACATTTTTAAATTCCAACCAAAATTTGGTTAACACAAAAAAATAGTTTGGTCACAAAAACCAAATGATCGTTTGTTGTTCTAATCGAAATTTGGTCAGAACTCCCGACTCGCAGTTTAAAAACAGAGGTTCGATCCCAGGCGGAGATGGAATTTTTCAAAGTCTACAAATATTTGTATTGGGTCAGTCTACTGACTTTCGTCTAAAGGTGGTTGCGACCACATTTTTAAAAAATCTAGTTTTAATATATATGTGAAACTCGATTATTCTATGAGTTCATTAACTATAATAACATGGTAAAAATTGTATTCCCTTTAAAAATATTAATTATCAAAAGTAGGAGGTTCACAATGTCATTTTGTAACCTTAAATTTTTTAATTTTTTTAAAAACGCTATTATTAAAAAACTATTAAAAATTAGATGTTGGAACTTACCAAAACCATAAATTACTTTATTCTGCACACAGGAACGAAAGAATTATTACAAAAAATTATTATTTTTAGTTGATATATGATTATGAAAAAAATGTTCTTGAAAGAATTTCAAAATTTTTGTTTACTTATAACTTTTTTGTCGGTGCTCCGAAAAATTTGAGGTTTTGCACATAAATATTTAATAATTTTCTTTATCTTTTATTAAAATCTCACGAAGGTGTTTTGCTTCGTTTTCGAGATATAAATTTTTAAATTTTTTTATTAAAAAGGTTAATTAAAAGACTTGAAGTTAACTAACCAATTTCAAACAAATTTTGAAATTCTTTCAAGAAAATTTTTATCAATATCATATATCATTTTTTATATAGCATTTTTTATGGAGGGTAGTGAAAATGGCTATTAACATAAACAAAAAAAATTATTTAAAATTAATTTAAAGTAATTTTGAAAGATCTATTTATATGCACTTTTTGGAAAAAGTTATTTTCAATTAAAATCTTTTATTAGATAATTATTTCTTTACAAATTTGAATTTTTTTCTGAACTAAAAAAATTGCAGTGTTTATCAAACTTTAGAACCAAAAGTTTTTGTTATTTAGTGAAACAATTCTCTTCAATCGTAATTTTTTTAAAGTGTTAAAAATATGTTATAAAAAAATTAATTAAGAAATAAAATTTGAATTGTTTACAATTTTTTAACAATTAAAAAAAATATTTCGATTGTAAAGAAAGTTTCTCTAAATTTAAACTAATCCTTTATAAAAAATAGATAAAAAATTCGATTTTTGTTTATTCTGAAAAAATGGCAAATGTTAAAAAATAATTACTTAACATAATTTTATCCGAAATTTTTATAACTAAATCTTTAAAAATAGGTTATATATTTAGTTTTTGTTTGCATTAAAAATTATTTTTTAATTTTGAGGTTATGTTATATCCTACATTCTCTTTAATTATTTGTTTAAATAAATTATTTTGGTTCATATGTGTAAATGGAATTTTAAAAATCAATATATATATATATCTTTTAAAATAAAAAACTACCATTAAATTAACTGAATAAGGAGGAGAATTGACAGACGTTTGACGAATCACACTTGCTTTAATTGCTTCACTGATTCCATTAACTCTAAATTCTTCCAACCTGACAACGTGAATCATCGCTAAAGCCTTCCTTTTTTTAATTGTTTCTGGGCGAAATTCAATTTCATGGTTTATTGCAGCAAACCCCGTTTTTATTATAACATTCATATTATTTACATTGATTACTATTGATCTGTCATTATCGTTGTCCAAAGAAAATTGCCTAATTTCGCCACATGCAGCGCTGATAGTCATATCCGGCATATGTTCAAGGCCATGTCCGTAGCGAATTATGGTTAATGAAAACAGGGAATCATCGAGTTTCTCATATCGACGCCCTCCGATGATAAATAGTGTTAATTCAAATTTTAGTGCAATAAAATATTAATTCAAAAATTTGTGCTATATAATGTCTATATTCGTTTGTTTGTGCAATATAATATGAATGTGCCATTCGTGAGTTTTTTTTATCGCTTTTCGGAGTAACCTCACCAAATTAAATGAAAAATTTTTTGATATTATTTTTTTTTAATATAAAGGTCCAAAATAAACACTTTTTAAGTAAAAAACAATTGTTTATTTAAAAGATACAACAATAAATAATAAAAAATGGACTTTTTTTCTAATTCACCAAATGAATTGGTTTAAAGATCAAAATTTTCCTTATTTTTCAATCTTCAATACTGCACAAAAAAAATTAACCATTTCGAAATAGTTAACTCAAAATTTTTGTTTTCTTTTTTGTATAATTTTATGTTATTTTTCAAATTTTTTTGGAAAAAATTATAATTAGCCTTTTAAATTTTGTTTTAATTTCTATAAACAGTTGAAAATGCTTTATCAGCAGGAGAATTAATTTTTTAATTCAATATTATATAGTTCTGAATCATTTTAAAATGTATGTTTTTTAATTTAAATTTTACAATCTTTAACGTAAATATACCGTCAGGTGTGTGCTTTGTTTTTTGTAAAATTATAAAAAAAAAAATATTTTAAATAATGATTTAACCTTACATTGTGTAAAAAATAGTATTAAAATTATATTGCACAAACAAGTGAATAGACATTATATTGCACAAATTTCTGAGTTAACACTTTATTGAATTGGAGTTTAAATTGACACTTTATCATCGGAGAGCGTCGATATATTAAGACTAGATTTTTTAAAAATTTTGTCGCAACCACCTTTAAACGAAAGTTAGTGGACTGACCCAATTGGATAAATAAAAATTAAACGTTAAATTGATAATAAATAATAAAATAAATAAAAAAATGAAATGAAAAAAATAAGGTAGAATAAATTTTTTAATTTTACAAAAAAAAAAAAACATTTTTGTTATGCCAACAAAAAACACTGAATCAAATTTTTTTGTTGACTCAAACAAATAGTTTGGTTGCTCTGACTAAACATTTTTCTCAGTGTTGGGTTCACTCCGCCCGTGCGTCTGATATACTCAAACGGTTACTCTCTCCGAAACTTGTCAAAAATGCTATTTCAGTGTACTTTTTATTTTATTATAATTATTAATATTATTCATATTATTAGTCAAGTAAAGGGAGATACTTTAGATTTGTATATCAATTTTCCATTTTCACATAGAGAAAGAACAATTTTATTTTATATTAAAAAAGGCGGTCACAAATTAGTTAATAATTACTTACATTTTCGATTTGTTTACAATTGAAGAGTTTCACCTGGCCTCAAGAATGGTAATTTCGGACGCTCTAACGACCTTTTTAAACAAATAGAATAATAGAACTTTAAAAACTGCTTGCGGTCTCACAGACACCAGTTGGGCTTCGTGCTTGAAAAATGAGGTGTGTGCTCCGATGGTTAACATTCAGAATTTCAGGACCATCTAAGAGCATTTTACTGAAACGTAATATTTCGATTCAGTATGTGAAAAATCATTTGAGCATTAAAGAACTTCCCTTAAATCAATGTTTTTTAAAACAAATAGAAATATCTAGTACGTTTTGAAAGACATTGTATTCAAACTATTCTTTATTTTTTATTTTTAAAAAGGTACTCAACTATTAGGTTATCTTCCTTTTTTTATGAGCCAAAAGTTTTGAACGTTCAAATGAACAAACTTTTTTTTGCAACTTCTTTAAGTACGAATTTTATTATAAAATATTGTTTTAAAAATCTAAAAAGAAGTTATTTAATTTAATAGTTTTTGTTTAATTTACTGTTTTAATTTACATTGACATCATAATTTTAATAATTTATAGATTGAAAAAAATATTTCGTTCATTTGAACGTTCAAAACTTTTGGCTCATCTTTTTTTGTACTTTTTTATTCTTGAAATACCAATATGTATGTATATGTCGTCCACATTGTATGTGGAAGGCAGTTAAACCTTTCAGTTTTATTGTCGAACTGTACCAACATAACTGAGTAAATTTATTTGCATAATATCTATTATTTCCGCAAAGTAATTTCATATTCTATTCTATAGGCATATTTAAAAAATTTTAAACGCATATTTGAAAAGTTTTACATTAAATTAATATTTATTAATGTTTATAAAATCTTTTTTTGTATTTGCTAAATATTAATAATAATACACAAAACTATGTAACACAACTTTCTCCAACTGAAACTTCGGAACGCATGAAAAAGTTCTAAAAATTAATTGTTAGAATTTTTTTTATAGAATCTCATTACCATTAGATATAATTTTCATTCAGCCAAATTTTATTTGTTCGAATTTTTATTTTGCAGAATTTTCATTAAACCGATTTTCTATATTTCAGAATTTTTACATAAACAAAAAATAACTTCACATAATTTTTATTAGGTAGAACTTCATTGTGTAGAATTCTTTTTTAGATGAATTTTCATTTGTTTGAATTATTATTTGAAGAATTTCCATATAACCGATTTTTCATATATGTACTACAGAATTTATACTTAACTGAAAAATCATTTAACGAAATTTTTTAATTGATACAATTTTTATTTATCCTAAATTACAATTGTGATTGGTTACTTCTAAAAATCGCGCCCCAATCAGTCTGTCAATTGTTTGTTCGGCCATTTACAATTTTGGAAAAATAAAAATTCTGTCAACTAGAAATTCTGTTAAATGATTTTTCGGTAAACTATAAATTCTTTAGTATGAAAAATCGATTATATGTAAATTCTATCAAATAATAATTCGATCAAATAAAAGTTCTGTGAACTGGATTTCCGGTTATGTAAAAATTTTGTAATATAGAAAATCGGTTTAATGAAAATTCTACAATATAATTCGAATAAATAAAATAATAAAAATTATACCTAATAAAATTCTATAAAATAAAAATTCTAATAATTGATTTTTATAACTACACTGAGAAAAATGTTTAGTCAAAGCAACCATAATTTGGTTGGGCCAACAAAAAAATTTTGTCAGTATTTAAGCAACCAAACTATTTGTTTGAGTCAACCAAAAAATTTGGTTGATTGTTTTTTGTTGGCATAACAAAAATGTTTGATTAGCCCAACCAAATTTTTTTTGTTAGGTCAACAAAAATGTTTAGTTGATCAAACAAACAGTTTTTTTTGTAAAATTAAAAATTTTATTCTACCTTATCTCTTTTCTTTTTATCTTTTTTATTTTATTTCATTATTTATTTATTTATTATCAATTTAACATTGAATTTATATTTATTCAATTGAAATATTTAAGGACTTTGAAAAGTCTCATCTCCGCCTGGGATCAAACCTCTGTTTTAAAACTGAAGGTCGGGAGCTCTAACCACTGGACTACCCATCCTTGTGAGAGATTTAAACTAACTGTTCTCTTAAGCTATGAGTTGAGAGCGAATCAAATTATTTGGTTGTCGCAACCAAATTTTGGTTAGGACAACAAACGATCATTTGGTTTTTTAGACCAAACTATTTTGTTGTGTTAACCAAATTATTTTGTTGTCGAAACCAAATTTTAGTTGGAATTTAAAAATTTTCAACCAAATAATTTTGTTGGCCTAACCAAATGTTTGGTTGAGATAACTCTACGACTTTGTTTCAGCTAACCAAAATTTGACTACAAGAAATTACCTAACCAACCGTCATGAAGTTGGCGTCGACGCTCAGCGCCGAAAATTATTTTTTACAGGACCAAAAATGTAAAATTATTTTTCTTTTTAAATTTTCAATCCAAATAATGCCTAGAGAAATACTTTTCAAGATATTATATGGACCCAAAACCTTTTTAAAAATGATTTGATATTTTTGGTCCCGTGATAAACAAATTTCGACGCTGAGCGTCGACGCCAACTTCATGGATGTCCTAACCTAACAATTTTGTTGGAAACACTAAATTTTTTTTCTCAGTATATTAATTGCGTCCCTTTTCGAAATTCACTATTCAATTATGAATCGCATTATATGTAATTTTTGTAAAGGAAATTTTATTTTTTGTATATTAATCAATTTTAGTTAAAAACATTTATTAGTTGACATATTGGGAACTACATCTTATACTAAGATTTTTAGTTTGTTTCTAACATGAACGTTAAATTTTATTATGGGATATTTATTAATTGTTTTATAAACTTTACAGGTTATTGAACACACAGATAACTTAATGCAAGTGGAAACCGAAGAACAAGAGGAGGAGGAGGAGGAAGAAGTAGAAGAGGAAGAAGAGGAAGAAGAAACGACTGAAATAGCTTCATTGCAAGTAGTATCTTTGGTATCTTTACCACCTGTAGGATCGACACAAACAGTCGAAACTACTATTCCGGAATTAAGTTCGCCACCTCTATCACCACAACCGGTGGAAGTAGTAGCAGAAGAGATTAAAGAGGAAGAAGAAGTAGAAGATGAGGAAGAAGAAGAAGAAGAGGAAGAAGTAGAAGAGTTAGTGGAAGATTCTGAGACAAGTATCCCAAAAACGGTTACCTTCACGAGTCAGATTTTCCCATCAGTTGCAGTTGAAGAGCAACAACAACAGCAAACAGAGTGTGCATTTTCGCCTTCACATGTAACATCATATGGCTGCACAGAATCAACGAGTAATTCATCTCAGTATATTACTGGCAGTCCTACTAGACCCTATTCTCCTGAGGAAGATATTCAACAGCGACTACCAAGTGTGTTGGAAGCTGCTATGAAGGCTGAGCCTAAAGTTGAAGTTGAAAGGTAATTATTATTATTAAAAAATATTTTCATCATTTCAAAAAATTCACACAGTTCCCATCAGGCGTCCAAATAGATGATCATGGTCGATAACGGTCACATAATAGAAAGAAACAATATAATTTTTCATTGTTTATTAAAAAAACTTTATTTTCCTTTACTTATTGTACTCCGCCTCATTACATTATGCATTATCTTTTTTATATAATAGGACTTTAAAAAAATTAACATATAATTGATAACAATAATGATTCCAATTTTTTATTAATGTTTAATTATATTAATTCTATTAATATTTTAAACACAAAATAAAAGATTAGTCTTTTTGGGGATCCTCTGCAATTTCAGTAAAAATTACATTTAATTGAGCTGCCAGATCAAAGCAGGGAATATAACCCATTTGAATTACATTAGTTATGTGCTCTTCTTTGATTCGACAGCACAATTATATAATTCTTTTAAAAATGTATATTGAAAAAAAATAATTTTTATTATTATGTACACTATATATATATATATTTCTTGAAAAAAATGAAACTTGGGGAAATTATGTAGATAATAGTTATTTATGATACAAGTGCGTAAAGTGAGTGATTATACGAGTGTGACGTTTGCAGCACTAAAACCATCTAAAAAATTACATTTAAACTTTTTTTTGATTCTTCCAATGTCAATAACTTGTTTATATTTCATAGTAAAAGGTTCTCAAATATATCAGTCGATGCGTTTGTAAATATTTTTTAAGATGGTTATGACATTTTATTTAAAGGATACATAAAGATTTTTAAATAAAAAAATTTAATAAGCCATGTTTTACAAATTGTTTAGATTTTTAACGTTTATAACTCGTGATAAAACAATTTTAGAATATTCGTCAATAAGTGAAAAGATTCGTATCAAAAAACTACAAAATAAAAGGAAAACATTTATAGGTGTAACAACATTTTTTAAAATACACGGTCAAAAAACGTTTTTTCCAAACAGCAAAAAATAAAAAAATAAAAAAAAAAAAAAATATATATGTGCCATTCCAGGAGTTTTTTAGCACTTTTCGGAGTAACCTTTCCAAATTAAATGAAACATTTTTTTAATAATATTTATTAATATAAAGGTCCAAAAAAATCACTTTTTAAGTAAAAACAATTGTTTATTTAAAAAATACAACAATAAATAATGCAAAAAATTCACTTTTTTCCTGCAACTCCAAATAAATTGGTTTAAAGATCAAAATTTTCCTTATTTTTCAAGCTTTAATACCGCACAAGAAACATAGAGTCCGAGAAAATATTCAACTCACAATTTTTTAAACAATGTTTGTTTACTTTTTTGTATTTTATTTACTGTGAAACGTCTGCTAAAGCTGCGCGCGACGTTTGGAAGTTGTCGCTTTCGTTATTGAGCAGAAGCTCATTACACTAGCGTAGTAGAAAGCATGTTGTGTGAAAAGTGAGGTTTTTCATCCTTCAAAAATGTTTTTTATGATTTTTTACTGCAAAGTAGATAATTAAAAACCATTCAATGTGATAACCAGAAATTTTTACGTTTCGTTTAATGACAACATAACCTCACTTTTCGCACAACATGCTTTCTACTACGCTAGTGTAATGAGCTTCTGCTCAATAACGAAAGCGACAACTTCCAAACGTCGCGCGCAGCTTTAGCAGACGTTTCACAGTAAATAAAATACAAAAAAGTAAACAAACATTGTTTAAAAAATTGTGAGTTGAATATTTTCTCGGACTCTATGTTTCTTGTGCGGTATTAAAGCTTGAAAAATAAGGAAAATTTTGATCTTTGAACCAATTTATTTGGAGTTGCAGGAAAAAAGTGAATTTTTTGCATTATTTATTGTTGTATTTTTTAAATAAACAATTGTTTTTACTTAAAAAGTGATTTTTTTGGACCTTTATATTAATAAATATTATTAAAAAAATGTTTCATTTAATTTGGAAAGGTTACTCCGAAAAGTGCTAAAAAACTCCTGGAATGGCACATATATATATATATATATATATATATATATATATATATATATATATATATATATATATATATATATATATATATATATATATATATATATATATAAATCAGTAAATGATAAATAAGATTGATTAATATAAAAATATCAAGAATAAAATTTATAAGAATATTAATAATAAAAAATTTAATTAGATAAATTAAATGCACATTTATTCAATTTAAATAAATATTAATCAATATCGTTTTATGATCACAGTAAACATTAATTAAAATGTTAAAATTGAAATTATCGCATACACGTCCCTTCATTCAATACACAACTTTCACAAATAACAATAAAATAGAGGAAATTCGTTAAATGGACGATTGGTAGAATAAGTGATAAAAGTATATAATTGAAAGAATACAATTAACAAATTGGAATTAATAAAATTCGGACCAAATAATCAATGTTTTGCGCAGTGACGCCAATAATTATGAGGTATCATTGTGAGAGTCCTGAATTTTGGTATTGTCAAATATCCTGGAGAGCGTTGGAGCACATTTTCGAGTTCCCTCATACGACTCAGCTCTGAGGTCTGCAAAAGACTTTTCTGGGGCGCGCAACATTTATCTGAGGGCCTTTCCAGAATAGACTTGACGCAAAGCGAACGCTTCAATGCTCATCGAATGGGAATGCGTCGTGTCTGCGTTGCTTTAATGCTGATTCTACACTCACCGAAAACTGAGCGAGCGGTCCGCTTTTCCGTCACGCTTCCCATATTTAATTATACATATATATATATAACGTAACGCAAATGCGGACCGCTCGCGCAGTTTTAGGTGAGTGTAGAATCAGCATGAGCCTCATTCTGGAAATGGCCTGAGCTTGCTACGCACCCACTGGGGAACGCTGCGTGCCCCAGAAAATTCTATTGCAGACCTCAGGGCTGCAATGTGCTGCAACGCTCCCTTTTTTCAGTGTATATCGATGTAAATTTGACAAAATAAATATGTAATGAAATAAATTTGTCCACTAAGATTAATACATTGTTCTAAAATTTTCTGCAGGTTACCATCTCCAGCCAGTTCCTTGGATGATGGAACGCCTCAAGCACGACTATATTTAGCAAACACTTCCAGACAAAATCTTGAAACTATTGTAGAAGCAATCCGTCATCTGGAAGGAGACCATTTATTTAGTGATGAACCTGCTCAAGATGTTCCATTAGCCCTAACGAACAAACCACTCACTACTACAACAGCGTCATCGAAGCAGCGATTAGTAACTAACTTTCTTCAATTCCAACAACAGCAACAAGCTCAACAACGACCAGGTGTCATTGTCGTTAAACATTCGTGATCATCAATTGCCTCACGTCCAAAACAATAATTAAGTGACAAGGTTATAATAATTGCAAACCCTGTGTGTGACTTGGTTTAAGAAATTTCTATTAGCAACCTTGGATTTTGAAGCTTTAATTTTCTTACTTTAAATCATGACTTATAAAGACAATGATTATAATAATATTAGAGAAAAATTTGACATAGAAAAGATGGAAGTAAAAAACGGTAATAACGAAAATTACAAAAGAAAATCACATTTATACTATATATTTCCTCTTTTATTTTAAAAGTTTAATTTTAAAGAATCTCGTCAAGAAAAATTGTTTTTATTTTTTGTTAAGTGCATTTTACAGTGTCTGAATAAATATAAAATTAAATGCAAAAAAATTGAAACATTTCCAATAATAAACCGAAAGAATAGCTGATAATAAAGAATGTGCTTGATTAATCGTGTTGCTGTCGTATAAATTTGACTATAACAGAGACAAAAAATAATAATATTTCTAGCTTGTAAGACAACGTATACTGTATTATAATTACGTTTTCTTTTTTACCTTGTTATAAAAGTAATCTTAACTATTTCAGAGTATATTGAAAAGGTGTGAGAGTAGTAATAGAGTGTGAATGAGAGATACGTATTTCAGTTGAATGCTACTATTGCTATTTTATATAAATACATATTAGAAAGGGAAAACGAGTTCTTTAATCAAAACACATTTATAATAATATTTGACACACTCACACACACAAACAAACACACGCACACACATTGTTGCTTTTGAAATGCTTCTTGATTTAATTTTGTTATATATATATCATTGTTTATTTTTCGCTAATTATTTCTAACATTGAATAGCATTTCATTAAGGCATATTTTATTTTGTGTGGCAAATTACAGTGTGTGAACGAGAAATATTTTTGTTAATTTTTTTTTATCGGAAACTAGTCAAACAAGCGGTCGCGATACCTCTTTCAGTCTTTAAATATGCATAAATAGGATTAAAACAAAGAAAACTATAAATACGACGTTTCAAAATTTAATATGCCAAACAGATGCGTTATAAAGAAAACCATTGCTTTTAATCCTTGTTCAATCAAATAATGTGTTTTCAATATTTACCCTTCTCCATATTCTAATCAAATCATCAACGCCGTCGTCGTTTTATTAATAGCCATCGCGAAAGAACCCAGTGACAAATGCTACTTAATTATATATCAATGCATTTAAAGATAAAATAACTTACGAGTGAGAGTAACTTGTATAAATTTTAGTGATACAGTACGTCATTTAAAATGTATAAAAGTATAAATGATATATTATAAGTAACATATGTATAATTCATAATAGAGCATGAATGTGTGCAATTGAAAAACAGTTTTGCAATACTAAAAAGGTATATACAAACTGATTAAAACTATCATAAAAAGAATTATAAATTGCAACTGAAAACTAAATTACTTAAAATCTTATCGCGCTTTCGATACAAATTAATATGTATATACATAATATATAACCCTTTAAGTTTAAAAATTATAAAACTATTTATTTGTGATAATTCCATATTAAAGACTTGTATCTACCATCCTTTGATATGTTCTTTATTATATATAATAATAATGAACAGGCTTACAAAAAGCTTACAAAGCGCAATGCAATTATTTTACAATAAATTGCAACTTAATAGGAGTGGTTGTGATTCGACGCAAATAATAAATGCTGTAAAAAAATTTCTATTTACTTAACTGTATATAACAAAACTACATACATATATACATACATTTAGACAAGTACTATTAATTCTACTTAAATAAATGCCTTAGACGATAAAATTCTACATATTAGACTAAATGAATTATCATTTTTTTCTTCATTCTACACGGCTAAATACGTAATACAGTTCAATTCAAAGGAATAACGTTAAATTTTAAAAATAATTAAAGTAAAATGCATTACAATTAATAACTTTTGTTTAATTAGTTTTCTTGTATACAATTATTTGTATAAAATTTTTTATGCACAAATTATTTGCGCAGAATCATTACGAACTTTTATTAACATTATTACTATTATGTTTAATATTCTCCAGGAAATATTATTACTATTATTATTCGTATATTATTATTATTATTATTATTATTATTATTATTCTATTCATGGTTGATTTTCATTGACCCTTTATTTAATATAAGTATGTAGTTGTGACATTGATGGGATTAGCGTGAGGATCGTACAAAAAGAGAGATTTTTCCTTAAAAAAAAATGTCATCCATATTTGGCAGATAATATGTGTACAGAATAAAAACTCATTTTTGGTACAGAAAAGAAGAATGAATGAAAGATTGTTATTATAAATAGCAATAAATTTTGGTTATTTATTTTATGAAATTTTGAAGAAAACTCTTAGTTGGACGGACGTGACAGTAACGGATAGTGTAGTGAGAGGGTTGGACTTTTATTTAAAAATAAGAAAAAAATTATGTTGGTGCTTTATTGTAAGGGTTTTTATATAAATATAAAATTTGTTTACTGTTTATTTTCAAAATATAAACGTCATAAACAAAGGCTATCACATGAGCTGAAATTGTCGACAATTACAAAAAAAATCATTTTTTTACATGACTCTCACACTAATCCAATCAACACCATAACTATATAACTATTACATTGAATAAAAAATTTATTTCATTCAAATAATCGGTTATTTGACTATTATCAAATAAATATTTCCTTGAATCAAATATTTTTTATTTGAATCGAATAAATTTTTTTTCAGTGTATTATTATTATTATTATTATTATTATTATTATTATTATTATTATTAATATTATTTTTATTATTATTATATTATTCGGTGCGAGCGATATTAGTATCTTGGCGATATAAATTCAAGTTCATCAAGGCCTAAAAATTTGTAAAAAATATTAATAATTTAATTTAAATCCAAAAGTGATCATTATTATTATATTAATTTAAAAAATAACTTTCAAACTATATAGTACACAAGAAGAAAACGATTAAATCGGTTTTCTAAATGACTATATTATTGACATTATTCTCGATAGATGAGTGACTTTCAGATTAGTTATAAACTGAACACAGTCCGTTAATAAAATAATGTATAAAATAGTGTGTGTATGTGTTTGTAAGTCTTCAAAATTATTGCGCGTGCTGTATACGAAATTGTAAAAAGTGAACAAGCGCATTTAAAAATCTTGCGTCTTCAAAACTATACATATATAAAGACACTGGAATTTTGTGATTCGATAACCACTATCTTGTTTTTCTAAATATAATTTTACCTTTTAAAAATGACTGTTACAATTTATCACCTCAACAATCTATTTACTTTTGTAAAATACTAGAAAAGAAATCATATTCTTCTGTTTTGATTTTCATTCAATTTCATTTTCTTTTATTGTTTTACTTTTTATTCAATTAAAAATCTTCCGCCATAAAATCGTTTTGTATAATACTCTGATATAAACTCTAGAAATATAGTAAATAAGCAATTAAAATATATCTGTAACTAATATGATGAAATTTAAGGTGTCCAAAAATTGTTGATGCAAAATTTTATGATTTTCACACAATTGATGATACTTTTTGAGTAGGTATCTGTAAATGTGAGATTTTTTTGGTTGGAATACTTTTTTTCCAGACGCTGTTGTTATACATAAGGACAGGATTGTCTTATATGTATGGCGCACTTTTTGATTGGACCAACAGATTTAAAAATAATCGCATTTTAATTCCGATTTTAAATTTAATAGATATGACCTTTCGCAATATGCCAAAATGTTAGAGAGAAAAATGCAAACAAATAATATGGCTCTATATGGGTGATTTTTCAGGCTCTGTTTTTCTTATACATTTTTGGAATAATCAATGGGTATTAATATTATTTCACTTCTATTTCTTAGTAGAATAAGCAGTAAAATGATTCTACACGCAACTTAAAATTCACAAAGATATTCTAAAAATTAAAATCACAAAAGAAGAAAGAAATGAAAACTGAAATTTAAATATATTGAAGTATAGAATAATTACTTTTATTAAGAAAGTATACAAAGTGAAAAACGTGTTTATTTATATAGTAAATAATTAAGTAGCTGGATGCTATATAAACGGATTAAGTTAAAGAAATAGCGCGTATTTTTTTATATAAAACTAAAAATTTTTTTTCTAATCAAAATTATTTTTGTAATCCCAAAAGAAATTATTTTCTAAAATATTCAGGATAAATGTAGAATACGTTTTTGAATGGGTTAAAATTATTTATTAATAAGAGAGTAAGAATTTCTGAAACGTGCCACCTAAGACTGAACAAATTTATTTTTTGTTGAAATGTTATTTTTCTTATAGTATTTTATATGCACAATCACCCTCTAAAACGATTTTGCAAAAAAATTTTTTTTTTTTGCTGTTATTAACAATTTAATATTTTTGACCCTTTTTTAAAAAAAATTAATTTCAAAGAAATTTATTGTTCGATTTTAGTGATCTAAACGGCATTCTTCTTGTCTTGAACCATAGTGTTATTGATATTTATTTGGTGCAAAAATATTGATTTTTATTGCAAAAAAAAATTTGTTTATTTATAAACAAATAGTAAAAAACCATGAAAACAATCGAATTTCAAAATGAAAAAATAGCTTCATATACATACTTAAAACCCTTCTGAATAATATTCCGTTGGGAAAAAAATGGCACGCATTCGACAATTGGTCTATTTAAACATTTTTGACAGCGTGCATAGCGCATATGTAATACGTAGTGACACGCGCCGCGCTACGTTCCGCTAGAACTCTAATGTAGGTATTCCATTGAGTATTCCATTCTACAAAGTCTGTGGGAAAATTAATTTTATAATTAAATTATAATCTTCAAATGTTGTTTTAAAAAGAATGTTTCAAATTTGAGTTTACATATTATCATTATTATAAATTTTATTATTGGGTAAGACTCCGTCAGAAATATCACTTGTAAGGGGTCTTTGGATTCGTCTAATCTATATTGAACCTTTTGACAATTATTTTTTAAACATTATTATTTCTGAAAAAATTAATTGGATCTCAATAAAATTTTAATGCAATTATTCAAAAAAACATATCTTTACAAAGTGTTATATAGTTGAAAAAAATTTTGAAATTTGACCCAAAAAAAGGGGGCGGTTCAAATACTACACAATTAAATTCTACATCGTTAAAACCCTACACGTCAAACTATACACAGTTAAATTGCACACCGTTAAACCTTATACAATTTATTTTTTAAATTCTACACACTTAATGTGTACAATGTTAAACTCTACACAAATTTATTTTGTAGTGAAAAATTAATTTCTTTAAATTCAACACGGTTAAATACCACAACGTTAAACTCTACATACATTTCTTTTGTAATAAAAAATTAATTTTCTTAAATTTAACACAGTTAAATTCCACATCGTTAAATTCTACACATATTTATTTTGTAATGAAAAATTAATTGCATAAAATTCTACACAGTTAAATTGTTCACAGTTAAACTCTCCATAAATTTATTTTGTATTATAAAATAAAATTTGTTTAACTCTACACAGTTAAGTTGCATATTGTTAAACTCTACAAAAACAAATATTATAACATAAAATTAATTTTAATAAATTCTACACCTTTAAATTGCACACCGCCAAACTCTTCACATAATGATTTTATAATAGAAAATAAAAATGATTAAATTCTACACAGTTAAATTGCTCACTGTTAAATACTAAACAATTTATTTTTTAAATTCTGCACAATTAAATTCCACATCGTTAAATTCTACACAGATTTATTTTATAATGAAAAATTAATTGCATAAAATTCTACACAGTTAAATTGTTCACCGTTAAACTCTCCATAAATTTATTTTGTATTATAAAATAAAATTTGTTTAACTCTACACAGTTAAATTAAACACACTTAAACTCTACACACACTAATCTTATAATATAAAATTAATTTTATTAAATTCTACACAATTAAATTACACACCGTTAAACTCTTCACAAAATTTAATTTAAAAAAAATAAAAATTTATTAAACTGTACCCCGTTAAATTGCACATTGCAAAACTCTAAACGATTTAGTTTTTAAATTCTACACAATTAAATGCTACAATGTAAAATTCTACACAAATATATTTCGCAATTAAAAATTAATTTCGTTAAATTCTACATAGTTAATTTCCACACTGTTAAACCATACACAAATTATTTTTTAATTGTACACAATTAAATTGTACAATGTTAAAATCTACGCAAATTTATTTCATAACAAAAAATAAGTTTTTTTTAATTCTGCACAGTTAAATTGCACACCGTTAAACCATATACAATGTATTTTTTAAATTCTATACATTTCAATTGTACAATGTTAAACTCTGCACCAATTTATTCTTTAGTGAAAAATTAATTTTGTTAAATTCTACATAGTTAATATCCACGCAACGTTAAACATCAGACAAATTATTTCTTAAATTGTACACAATTAAATTGTACAATGTTAAACTCTACGCAAATTTATTTAAAAAAAAAAATATGGCGGACGACTTTTTTGAAAATAGATCCAATTTTCTTGAAAATTGTTACTCGGGGGTTTTTGGGGTCGCTGATTACGAATCTGATATCAGATTTTCAATATTTAAAATGGCGGATCCAATATGGCGGATGATTATTTAAAAATTTGGTTGCATTTTCTTGCAACCTGATTATTGGGAGGTTTTCGGGGTTGCTGATTACGAATCAAATGTTAGTTTTTCAAAATTCGAAATGGTGGATACAATATGGCGGCCGAATTTCTTGAAAATCGATCCAATTTGCCTGAAAATTGTTACTGAAGGGTTTTCGGGGTCGCTGATTACGAATCCGATGTCAGTTTTTCAAAATTAAAATGGCGGATGTTTATTTAAAAATATGGAAAAAACACAAATCTCAACAAGCGGACTACATCTTTTAGCATTCTAGAAAGATATTTTTTCTACTTTCATTTATCTACATTCATTTATTAGATCCGCCATTTTAAATTTTGAAAAACTGACATCGGATTCGTAATCAGCGACCCCGAAAACCCTTGAGTAACAATTTTCAGGCAAATTGGATCGATTTTCAAGAAATTCGGCCGCCATATTGTATCCACCATTTCGAATTTTGAAAAACTAACATTTGATTCGTAATCAGCAACCCCGAAAACCTCCCAATAATCAGGTTGCAAGAAAATGCAACCAAATTTTTAAATAATCATCCGCCATATTGGATCCGCCATTTTAAATATTGAAAATCTGATATCAGATTCGTAATCAGCGACCCCAAAAACCCCAGAGTAACAATTTTCAAGAAAATTGGATCTATTTTCAAAAAAGTCGTCCGTCATATTTTTTTTTATAAAATAAATTTGCGTAGAGTTTAACATTGTACAATTTAATTGTGTACAATTTAAGAAAATATTTTGTCTGATGTTTAACGTTGCGTGGATATTAACTATGTAGAATTTAACAAAATTAATTTTTAATTGCGAAATAAATTTGTGTAGAATTTTACATTGTAGCATTTAATTATGTAGAATTTAAAAACTAAATTGTTTAGAGTTTAACAATGTGCAATTTAGCTGTGTAGAGTTCAATAAATTTTATATTTTTTTAAAATTAAATTTTGTGAAGAGTTTAACGGTGTGGAATTTATCTGTGTAGAATTCAACAAAATTAATTTTTCATTTACAAAATAAATTTGTGTAGAATTTAACAGTTTAGAGTTAAACAGAGTAGAATTTAACAAAATTAATTTTTCACTAAAGAATAAATTGGTGCAGAGTTTAACATTGTACAATTGAAATGTATAGAATTTAAAAAATACATTGTATATGGTTTAACGGTGTGCAATTTAACTGTGCAGAATTAAAAAAAACTTATTTTTTGTTATGAAATAAATTTGCGTAGAGTTTAACATTGTACAATTTAATTGTGTACAATTAAAAAATAATTTGTGTATGGTTTAACAGTGTGGAAATTAACTATGTAGAATTTAACGAAATTAATTTTTAATTGCGAAATATATTTGTGTAGAATTTTACATTGTAGCATTTAATTGTGTAGAATTTAAAAACTAAATCGTTTAGAGTTTTGCAATGTGCAATTTAACGGGGTACAGTTTAATAAATTTTTATTTTTTTTAAATTAAATTTTGTGAAGAGTTTAACGGTGTGTAATTTAATTGTGTAGAATTTAATAAAATTAATTTTATATTATAAGATTAGTGTGTGTAGAGTTTAAGTGTGTTTAATTTAACTGTG